GGGAATGCCAGGGCAAAAAGCAGACATCAAACCATGACAGATATAACATATTTTTTTCATTGCAAAAATGTGATTCATCTAAAAATATTAACATATTAAGACAAAACCTATGTTGATTACACAATATTATTCAGGGTGGTATGTATCTGTAGCTGCAGCTTAAGCCGGGCATACACTGCACGATTTTTGGCCTTCTCGGGCCGATTTTCCAGTCATGAGAGAATTTTTCCATTGAGCCAACTTTCTGCCTGATCGTGCGTAGTGTAGTGTACAGGGGGTAACGTGGTGCAATCAGCCTCTCACGACCACCTCCCGATCAGGAATTGTAAGGTCAGTAATCAAACATGTTTGAAACTCAGTTGGCTGTCGTAAAGTGGTCGTGAGTAACTTGTTCAGTGCGCATGCTCAAACAATGATTCTTATTCTTCTTCTTCTCAGACAATAATACAGAAGCATGGTGAGGGGGCCAGTGAAATGGAGTTCTTTCTGTAAAATTGACATACCATAGTAGCCAAGTTTGCTCAGCTATGTCCTTGTCCAAATACGTTGTTGCTTTTTCTTTTTAGGACTTTCAGCACAAAAAATTGCACAAATTGCCAAGGCAACGGATTTCACTCTAGTGAGCTTCATATTCCTCTTCTACTCGATTGGGTTTCTGAATAGACGAGTCCGAGTAGTGCCATCTCACTGCGGAGTTGAGTCTGAGATGATTTTTATACGTACAGTGAGAGCCGGTAGCTTGCATGAGCTGTGAACTTTTAGACCCCGTGGTTTCGCTATACAGTGTGAGCTTTAGCTGCATGCAACGATTGAGAAAATCATACAGTGTATGCCAATTGGGTTTGCCCCAAGGTGGCAAACCCAATTGGGGCCCATGAGTTGCCAAACCTCACAGGTCCCTAGTACCGAGGTCGCACGGGGCCCCGGCAGTGAGTCAATGGGATCTGCCCATGGCCGGTGAAGTTCAAGGTGGAAAAGATAAAAGCCTAGGGGTCTGAGGCCGGTACACTAAGTGACAAGTAGACAAAGACAAATTTAGTTTGATTTAGATATATTCACACTATCTCACCCTTACACCCATACGAACATATACAACCACTCAACTGAGACGTATACAGGGGCGGACACTAAACATATTCTTACACTCCTCATACATACACAATCCTTCTAGGTCTAGGGGCCAATCTCCATAGGGGAAACAGGTACATAGACCCAAGAGAAAATCCCCAGACACCCCAGTGTGGAAAGACTTAATCTCTAAAGAAAAGAAAAAAATATATTTATTAGAAAAATGGTCTGAAAAGGGGCACCAGCAAAGGGAGGAGAGCAGCAGTGTATCCCACGTCTCGCCCCAAACACAATCCCAGAACCAACCCCAGGAGGGACATCCTCTCAAGCAATGCCAGCCAAAGCAGGTGAGGGGAAGCATCGGAGATGGGAAGCACATAACTGGAAAACAGGTTCTCCCAGGGAGCCAGCTTCCCCACTGACCCAAATAGGCACCTTAGTCACTACGTTCTGACAGGGGACTAACTTTCTTCTTGTTATAAGGGAGTTTTCCTCTCCACTGTCGCTACCAGCATGTGAGGGATTGCTGTCAAGTCAATGAGTCAATGCAATCAGCTGGTTTTCCTTATATAGAAAACTTTTAACCAGTCGGACTGTGTGATTTGGTTGAATTGCGTGAATTGGCGCTATATGAATAAACTGAATTTTGAATCCAAACATTTCCAGTCCATTGCCAAAAAGCTATAGCTATTACAAAAAGAAAAAAATGCACATTAACATATTTTTGCTGATTTTTTTGTGGTAGTCATAAAACTAGACTGATAGTTAGGTAGACAGATATATATGATATCCAGATAGGGCTGCTCAGCGGGGCAGTGGGTAGCACTGCTGCCGGATTCTTGGCCAGAGGTCTTTCTGCATGGAGTTTGCATGTTCTCCCTGAGCATGCGTAGGTTCTCTCCGGGTACTCTGGCTTACTCCCACAGTCCAAAACATGACTGTTAGGTTAATTGGTTTCTCTAAATTCTCCTTAGGTGTGAGTGTGTGTGTGCATGAATGGTTGTTTTTCCTGTTTACTTCTGTGCTGCCCTGCGATGGACTGGCGACCTGTCTGGGGTGTACCCCGCCTCTCACCCGTAGACAGCTGGAGATAGGTACCAGCACCCCTTGCAACCTTAGCAGACACCAAGCAACCAGAAAAATTGATATCCAGATAAATACTCAACTGTGCGGCAACTTCAAAAATTCAACAACAACAAAAACCCAGAATAAAACCGTCTCAAATACCATTTATAATGAAAGTTTCAAAACCATTTCAGCATTGGTGTGATCTGGATGCATAAAGGGATGACAGCCAATCTGGAATTAGAACTTAGACAACTTTTATTGTCATTTTGTATACAAATGGTTTCATTTCATTTTGTATATGTTTCAGAATATTTCCTTTCCAAATATGTATGGTGCAAATATGCAGAGTTTTGGTTTGGTGTTATCAGTGTATAGATTGGGTTGTAGAGAAAAGAAAGGAAATCAATTTCTGGAGCCGTGACTTTTTTTAAATTTAATTGTTGTGCAAAGCTACTGTAGTTCACATGACTCGCCATACCACAGGAGCTGTAAAACACTGCTTGTGTGAGAGCATGACAAGGATTTCTGTTACCAGAATAATTGGTCAAGGCGTAGCCTACACAACATTGTAAAGGAGCAGACGCTACTTTGGATAATTATTCCTTATTACTCAAAGAAAGGGGTTGAACGTGTTTTATATGGAGATCAGCAGTGATGAATCAAAGGTGTCAAACTTTACTCTATGTTATGGGAAAACAGAACGAAGGAAGTCTCTAAACACTGAAGCTGCTGAGAATTCACCAATAGAAAGATCAAAGGTTTAAATTGCTGTGAAGCTATTGGCTGAGGTGACACGCTGGATGGCCTTGGGCAAGGGAAGGATAAATGAGATTAGATTAACAAATAACATATAGAAATTTCGAAACGACTTCTGGGAGAAAGGTGTGCGTGGTTTGGAATGTATGTTTTGCAAGGGGTGGATCTGGGTCAGCCATCTCTGGGCCAAACTGAGCAGAGACAGAGGGAAGGTACGCAGACAGAGCTAGGAGCCAAGAATCTCCACTTGTGAGCAGAGAGAGCTGCGGTGGAGCTAAGCTTAGAGAAAAGGACAACCGATGTTGAGGGAATAAAGAGGAACGTGTTAAAGGACACTTTGCTCAGATTTTTAAATGGACACTTTGCTCAGATTTTTTGTTTACTTAAAAAAGACATTAAGGACTGATTAAATGTATTTATCTAAATGGAACAATTTCATTTATTATCTTTGTTACTAAACATTTTTGTTTTTGGAAAATTTGGGATTGAAGAGTATCGGCTTATTTTGTTCTAGTGCAGTTGACTTGCATGTCTAACTGATCAGGCTGAGTTATTTGTAATATCGACTTGAGGTTAGATATAATAACATAATCTAAATAATGAAATTCTGTTTTTTTGTTGTCTAATTCACATTTATAGCAGAAAAGTCAAGTCACCAAAACATACACTAACCTGGAGCAGAGAAAGAACATTGTGAGGAGAAGGTGTGCTGTTAGATTAGTTAGATATTTTCATTTTCAAGATGCATGAAGTGGTTAGATGAAGGATGCCATTGCTCCAAAGCCTCAAATGGTATCCCTGTTAAAACCATTGAAGTCATTAGGTTTTCACAATATTTATATCTACTTTTTTGACTACATTATTCATCTCAGGAAATAAGCATTACAAAAAGTTTTAAGAGAGGAGAGAGGTGTGTACTTTAGGAAACCTGACTATGCAATACGATCAGTCGTGTCAGCCAATTCAATTAACTAGAACTATGTTAATTGTAAAGTACTGCTAAATTTCTTAAGCCTCATATGTTGGATGCTGTCTTAGTTAATTGAAACTCTGGAGAAAAGCTTAGTTCCAAGCTGTTTCTGGAATAAAGCTCAAAGTCCTTTTGGCTGTTACTTTGAGTATAATCAAAACCTTGGCCTCTATAACAGCCTAATAAATCTGACAAACTGGTAACAAGATTAAGAGACAAAACTGATTATTCTTAAAGCTGCAAACATCAGGTCTAAGTTAACTTTCCTAATACTGTATCTGTTAGGAAAGTCTTCTCAGCAGGAGGAATGGAAATTTAACAAATTCCTTCTGAATACACAGTTCCAAGGTCTATATCAAAGGAACAATTTTCGCTCACTGCTTCTTGACTGGTAGCTATTTTATAGATAGCAGTTAAATAGACCGGACAAAAGCAGAAATGTTTAATATTGTTAAAGAATGCTTAATCATGGCATCACTGCTTTTTATCTGACAGTCTCTTCAGCTTCAGATTTCTACACTGTTTCCCTCTCAGCTGCTCTGTTTTTTTTCCACAGTCCTTTACACATCCTTTATCCTTCACACATTTAACAGGCCATCATGTCTAAATCTAACTGTAACTACCACTCCCACCAAGCGTTGCAGCTCTGACATCACACAGTAGGTTAGAAAAGGGGATGAGCTCACCATATGGTCTCTTTTGCAGCTGCACAGCTGCTCTGAGGGAGACAAAAATTAACTCCTAGTATATGCTAGTCCGATTGAGAAGCCATTGCCTCTATTTGTGGGATCATAAATTATGAATTATAATTTCCTGGTATAGTTATTAACTATGTATATTCATTGTGATCAATGCAAAATGATTCCTTTTTTATTTAATATATTTTTTTCAATATTTCATACAACATATTTTTTTGTGATTTACGAACAATGTTCGACATGATCCCAAGCATCATACTTTCTTTAGGTTTATTTTCCATCTATAAACATTCTGCGTCTATATAAGCAAACATGCAGTATAAACACTTTGATTGACAGCATATCTTGTGGCCATGATAGACTTTTATTTTGCACTCCACTGATAAATACATAGCATTTCTTGGGGTTGTGATTCCTTTTTGATGGTGCATCCCTCTCAGTTTGTTTTGCAGTGTGGAAAAATCGTCACATGCGGACAGTGACCAACTACTTCATAGTAAACCTCTCCCTGGCTGATGTTCTGGTCACCATCATATGTCTGCCCGCGAGTCTTGTGGTTGACATCACAGAGACCTGGTTTTTTGGAGAGACTCTTTGCAAAATCGTCCCCTATCTTCAGGTAAGAGACTAATAAATAATAAATTTTTTAGCTGCATGAAACAATAAACCAAAGTCCAATGCATTACAACGCCTGTTTAACTTATAAATGAGTCATTGGAATCACATGGCTGAGGTTTTGTTATATTCACAGTGCATGTCAAGTATTAATGTGGTTTCTTGTGCAATTCCCCACTTGAAAAGGATAGTCCTCTACATTCCAACTGGATTTCATTCAATGAACAGCCCTTTGATAGTCATTTCATTATTTATTTATTGAAAATTGGCAGTAGGTAGGTGAAAAACCTCAAAAAGAGAAGGTAACACAAAACAATTAGTCATTTAAGATAATAGAAAATTGTACCCATCATTAATTTAAGCATTTTAGCCCTTTTTAAATAAAATATTTCCCACCATGTTCTAAAAAAAAACATATTTTTTAAATACATCAACAATTTAAAGTAACTTATTTTTTTTTTTTCTTAGCCAAATTAAGTTGATAAATTTTAGCCAAATTAATTAAATCTTAAATTTTAGCCAATAAATTAAACAGTATATTTTTTAGCTAATTTAAATATTTTAGCAAACTATAGTTTTTAACTTCTACATTTTCAAAAGTTTTTAATGTTATCCTATACAAATTAAGAAAACAAAATGTACTTCTACAAACAAATGCAACTTTTAAACCATTTTTTCTTTAAATCAATTTGTTTGATCTCTCCATCGTTTCTCCACGGAAACGATGGAGAGATCGCAGCATCAGCAACTGCAAACTGACGGTCAAGACCTTCTCCAGTCGGAGGCTTGTTCCTCAACTGGCAGCAGAACAACTAGGCGTCGGACATCTCTATGCAGGACTGTGGTTTGGGCAGTTTCTTTCAGGACTCTTGATGGTTGGCTCAATGTGGGTCCTGTTGCAGAAAGATTGGAGCTTTGAACTACTTTAACGTGTACATCCCGAACAATGCCTTTAGCATCAGGGTTGACACTCACGACCCGTTCCTCTATTGCAGCTTTATCTTGAGAATCCAGGAACTGGTACAACTCTCTAAGGACAGGTTTGGTGCCGATAAAGTTTGTCCCTGGATCGGACCAGATCTTCCTTGGGTGCCCTCTAATTGCAGTAAATTGTTGATATGCCATTAAGAAGCTTTCTGTGGACATTGTGTTGACCAGGTCCACGTGAATTGCTCTGCTGGCCATACAGCTGAAAACGACACCCCACACCTTCATTGAGACTCGTTTCTTTATGTCATCTTTGACAAGGTAAGGTCCAAATAGATCAACTGCGGTGAACTCAAATGGAGCTGCTGGGCTGCTTCTTTCAGGAGGCAGGTCACCCATCACTTGTTGGCATCTCTTTGCCTTGGACTTTTTGCAGAAAAGGCAGTGTTCCATTACTTTCTGGGCAATTCTCCGTCCTTGGATGACCCAAGCTTTCTTTCTCATTTTTAGCAGGGTAGCAGCCACACCTTTATGACCCTCATTGTGTGCCTCTTGTGCCAACAAAGTGGAGACCCATGCATTGGAGGGTAGGAGGGGAACTGCCATGCCATCTTCCTTGAAGCCATGAATTCTCCCACCACAGACTAGTAATCCTGTCTCTGGCTCTCTGTACACAACCAAACGGTCTGTTGTGGTAGCTGGGAAGGTCATTCCCGCTTGAGCAGCAAGGAAGATGTCTCTGAGTGCATCCTGACGTTCTATGGCAGTGATGACTCCTTCAGTTGGAACCGCCTCCCACTTTAGGGTTGTCACGGACTTGCTTGCTGGTAAAAAATTTTTTAGCAGCTCTCCAGAGAATGGCAACGGTCTTGACTAGGCTTTTTAGGCTACTGAAGCGTCTTCCATCCAGTAAGTTTTGTACAGCTGTACCAGCGGGAGGTCTTCGCTCAGGACTTTGTCTATTTCTTTTTACTTGGGCTCTGGTGAGTGCTGCAACGAACAACTTCTTTTGCATTTTGCTAATGCTTTCTCGAGCAGCTTCAGACACATCCCTTGCTGACATAACTGGCCACTCTTTCTCGGGGAGGCAGAGAAACTTTGGCCCTTGCTGCCACTCTGAATTGACATCAAGGTCTGTTGGCCCAGCTCCTCGAGTGATGATGTCAGCTATGTTGTATGATCCAGGGATCCACCACCAGTCCTCTAGCCTTGTGTTACTTTGAATCTCTCTGATCCTATTAGCGAAGAAAGTCTGAAACCCGTAGCTCTCACGCTAGATAGCTCCAAGAACTGTCTGGCTGTCCAATAAATGGAACCACTGCTTGATTTTGATCTGGCTGTGTTGTTCAAAGTACTTCTTCAGGCGGCTTGCAAAGACAGCACCACAAAGCTCCGCTTTGACTGCGTCCCCGTTGTGGTCTAGGGGCGTTAGCTTTGCTTTTGACTCCACTAGTCGAACTATTGTTTGTTCTTGACAGTTCCATCGTAGGTAGAGGACAGCACCGTAAGAGCTTTCACTACCATCTGAAAAGGTGACTGCGATTGGATCTGATGCTGCATCTGGTGGAGTGAGGGCTCTTGGAAACTTGACTTTACTTAACTGGACAAACTCCTCAAAAAGATAAACTGCATCTCTGCAGAGCTCATCAGACAAGGCAAGGTCCCATGTATCTTTGACAATATTGCACTTTGGTTTTGCCTCTTGGAATGCTCTTCGGACCAAGATGGCCCCTTTTTGTTTTGCTGGTGTGGTCAGGCCTATTGGGTCGTACAAGCCAGCAACTTGACTTAGCAAATCACGTCTTGTCAGTGGATTTGGTGTCCTAGCTCGAATTTCTTCCAGCAACAGATCTTGACCAAGCCTTATTTTCTTTTTTCATCTGGAGAAGTTGACTCTCACCATGACATGCAACTTGTCCTCATCCACAATGTAGCCGAGACCAAGTGCCTTGTTATCTTCTTCCTTTAGTTGATTTGGCAGGACAACAATATTTGGTGAGGCCTCTTCTTTCTGTCCTTTACTTTGCCCAGAAAAGACCCATGGCTTTAAAGCGAACCCTCCTGCCGCTAGGATCAGCTCCACGTTATTGGTGATGACCTCAAGTCTTTCACGGCAGTTGTGGGATGTCAAGATGTCGTCGACATAACTGTGTTCATGTAATACCTGGCGCTCGTCCTTTAGATGACTGAACTGAGGCAGGTTTGCTGTCTCTCTCATGGCGAGTTGTGCTATGCACCCTGCTGGCTTGTCACCAATATTCACTCTTGTAATTGCGTACTGTTCAAGCTCCTCATCCTCCGAATCACGCCACAAGAATCGGTGCAGATGGACTTCTTTTTCCTCAAGCCAGACAGAATTGTACATTTTCCTGATGTCTCCTAAGGCAGCAAAGGAGCCTTGGCGAAATTTGAGGAGGACAGCCCGGATTGAATTGAGGATGTCTGGACCTTTCATCAGGAGATCGTTTAGACTCTGGCCTTGGTATTTTTGACTGCTGTTCCAGACGAGTCTCACTGGAGTTGTAACTGAGTGGGGGTTAGGGGCAATGAGATGACTTATGTACCAAACTGGTCCCTTCCAGGTAAGTAGATCCTCCTCAGTCAACTTTTTTGCAGCCCGGCGGTCAACCATCTCGTGCACTTGAGCACTATAGGCCTTTTTCCATCGTGGGTTTTTGGCTAGTTGTCTCTCAGTTCTGAGAAAGGTTGCCTCCACTGCTTTTATATTGTTTGGCAATGTCGATGGATCTATGAGCCATGGGTATCTTGCATGCCAGTGAGTGCTATTACTGTGTTTGTCTGCACCAGCATATGTCAGGACACTCTTCACCACCTCTAACTCTCGTTCTTCAGCCAAGGTCATTTCTTTGCCTCCAGGCTGGCAATTGCCGCAGCGGCAGCCTCCACATCTTGGGGTGCAGGCAGCGCCGATGCTATCCCACCTCCACCACTCAAGAAACTCGCGAGCGGCGGCCACGGAGCACGAATGCTTGACAGCAGGTAAGACACAGACATGTTCTTTGTACTTCATCGCAGCTGTTCTCATGGACCTGGCAAAGTGCGTTCTGGACTGGTGCGCTGTAATGGTGGCCCTTTCAAACAGACCAGGGTGTGCCCGGCAACTGTTTTTCCCAATGGTCAATCCCATAATACAAGATCTCCAACAGTACGTATCTTCTGTGGGACAAGCCGCCCTTCCTTGTGGCTTATTAAAAGATTTTTTTCCTTCGGCCTCTCCAGTTCTTTGAGAGGGACGTCTGGAAAAAAACTTTTGGAGTCTTTTGGCTGTCACATGTTTGTGGATGTCCGCAATGCTGTCCAAGCCATAACAGAGGAGTTGGTGGGATTTGAAGTTGCCCTTTTCTGTACGGACACGGATCTTTAGGAGGTATCGTTTTGTTGTAACTTGTACTTTCATTCCTCCCACACCATGGACGACAAGGGTTATAGCTTCACTTCTAAGATTCAATCGATCAGCTGCATCATGAGTTATGTAGTTTGTATCCGATGCTAGATCGATTAGTGTCCCAACTTTTTGTCCTGCATTGGCTGTGACTCTTAATATCATCATGATGACAGGCCATTCCATTAATCCATTTTCTAACAGAAGACCAGGCTGATTAGACATGAGAGAGGTTTTGGCCACACTGTTGCAAAAGACATGACGGCACTTTTCTGCAAGTTCAGGTGACAGGCTCTTAATGAAATCTTCTTGGGCTTGGGTGTAACGTCCTCCCACTGTACTGTCTTTGGGTCTTTGGGCAACATTTCCCCTGCACACTTCAGCTCACGCACAGAGGTAATAATGGTGTTCAGCAGTGCGTTGTTCCCTGCAGTCTGGCCTTTTGCACAGGAACTCTGGTTTACAGTATTCACTGTCATGGTGAATCTCCAGACATTTTTTGCATGCACCCAGTTTTTTGACAGCATCTCTCCTCTCTGATAGTTTGAGCGTGCGAAACTTTTGGCAGAAGTATAATCTTCTCTTGTGCTTCACATCACCACAGACCACACATCCTTGAGCCTGATTGCTTGGTTGAGTGGAGGTTCTAGTCCGGGCTAGCCGTGGTTCAGATT